GCGCGGTGACCAGGAGCTGGTGGACGCATGCCGTGGCCGCGACAAGGTCCATTTGTGTCGGAGCTTGACCTGCGCGGAGGACGGCCAGCACTTCAAGGAGTATGGCATCGCGCGGGACTTCGACCCGGAGAAGTTCCACCTCAAGAACGCGGAGCTCGGCGCGGCCAAGGCGGGTCGGACGCTGTGGGCATGGCTATGGAGCTCTCCACCGAAGAAGCGCGCCCCCCTGAAGGAGTATGCCTCGGAGTCTGAGACGGAGCCGGAGAAACCTTGTGAAGCCCGTCGTGTGGTCTGGGTCGACAAGGAGGGGGACTACCAGTTGGCGCCCGGACCTTGCAAGCGGGGAGCCTCGGTTTCATGCACCCTCCTCTTGGAGGACCAGGACAACGAGAGTGGCATTGTTCCGTTGTGTACCCAGCATGCGCTGGACTATGAGAGGGATTCGGGCACATGGTTGTAAACACTCAGGCTGTAACAGGCTTGGCTTCTTGGATGCGGACGGCTTCCGGCGCTGTCGACTTCATGGGGGCGGACGAAGATCTTCCTCTCGGAGGCGGTCTCCTTCAGCCACGAGGGCACGAGATCGAGGCGGCGACGATCCGGAAGAACCTGACCTACCAGCGGTGGAGGGCGACGAGCGCATCGAGGTGAAGGACCTGAAGCGAGTGCTTGAGGAGATCCGGGGTAAGCCGAGCGAGAGTGAGAAGAGGTCCCGAGCCAAGTCACCGGGTCAGACGCCGAAGTCAAGCATCCACCGCAACCTGGCAAAGCTTGGCATGCTGGACTCCCCGGCCAAGGACGAACCCATACCGCTCCTAGAGGACTTCTTTAATCAATACGCTGAAGGCCGCTCCCTGGGTCTATCCGAAGAGGACGTCCGGGATAGCTTGGCGGTCGAGCGCGGCATCCCCCTGAAGGAGGTGACGGCAGAGCTCGTGAGGCAGGCCACCAAGGAACAGGACAGGGGCCAAAAGGGCTCACAAAGTTCGTGAAGGCGTGGCAACGGGGATGCACGACACCATCGACTCCGTCGAGTGCGCCGCGTTCGAGTACGGCACCGTCCTGGGAGGTCCTCGAGAATGGCGTCACGATCCCTACCCCGCCTTCACGTAAGAGTTCGGAGGCGGCACCTTCACCTTTGAGGATTGGAGTCCCAGGCATATATGGTTTGGATGAGCGGAAGGCTGGGGCTGCAGTGCAGGGCGACGCGTTCGATGAGATTGCCAAAGCGATTAAGTCCCAGACAGCAGAGATTGCGTCGCTTGTCAAGACGCACACGGAGAATACGGCCGTGGCCCCGGGCACAGTGAAGGGTATCAATCGCCAATCCGAGGAGTTGGTCTTCCTTCTGAGGGCATGCAATCAATACCAGGTCGTCATTGGCGCGGGCGAGCAAGGACAAGCGCTCGCCAACGCTTTGATTGCAGCACAGGCCGGGGCCTCAACCAAGCTCCGGAAGGCGGGCTTCAAGCAGAAGGTCACCACCAGGCTGGCTGTGGGGCTTGCTGGGCCGTACTGGGGCACGCAGGACAAGCATGCACTGACGGTCGCCGACTTCGTCCCGCACACAGATGCTGAACTGGATGCCTTTGTGCAGGAGGTCAGGGCCAACAAGAACGTCGCGGAGCAGAAGCCAGCGCCTCCGACGAAGTTTGAGGACTGGGAGGCACGAGCGCGTCGGCAGAACGAAGTGTGGGCGTTGGTGTACGGGGCTGAGTGGAAGCCTGTCCGTGATCATGCCCTGGAGAAGCTCACGATGTGGCACCAGGCGGAGCCACATAAGTGGCCGATGACCGTGGTGGCGGAGATTTGGGAGGAGCTGCACTGGAGGTTCTTCGAGGAGTTGAAGGAAATACTTCGGCTTCTGAAGAAGGAGGCCGGCAGAGAAACTATGTCGCTTGCCGACCTCAAGTTCCACGCTTTAATGCCCAACGAGAGTGGCACGGCTTGGCTCGAACTTCCTCGCACCTTCGACATCCTCAACCCGGACGGCTGGTTCGCGACCGAAGTACTTCCCCGAATCGAGAGGAGGCAGGAGCGTACGCTGTGGCGCCTTACATGGGAAGGTGGACGTGGCGGAAAGCCGAGCGGACCAGTCCATGCTGGCGGTGCACACGGAGAACCTCAGGGCGACCCCTCGAAGAAGCCGAGTCTTAAAAACTTGCGGGGGCCCAAGTTGTCAACCCAGGAGATTGCCAAGGCCAAGGAGCAAGCCCCTACCGACAGAGGTGGGACATTGCTCTGCTGGGGGGCCCTCACGCACATGGGATGCTCCAATGCCACCTGCCAACGTTCCCATGCAGGCCTTCAAGGACAGTTCGAAGCCCTGGACCCATGCGTACAGATGCAGCTACTCCGTTGAGGTGGTCTTCGCAGGCTCAAAGCAGAGACTCGCGAGTGTGTCACGGAGAAGGTCCAGAAGCTGAGGGCGGAGATGTCTGCCGATAAGGCAGCCAAAGTCGCGAAGTACCGCGGAGAAGGAAGAGGAGACGAGGGCCGGCGGCGAGAAGCAGGTTCAGTTTGACGTCTGCGAGGAATTCGACGCGGTGGACTTCACGGCGGCGGAGAGTGGCACGCGGGAGAACCTCCAGGGCCCGGACACGAAGCCAGCCGATGAAGGGCGCGTGTGGGGGAAGGCCATAGGAGAGTCCGCCCCCAGCGAGGCCAAGAACCGGTCAAGAAAACGGAGGACATGATTACCGGACCTGTTTTGGGTCGGCTTCATGGCGCTTCGGACGACCTCTTTGCCTGGGCAGCGGCGCGAGTTGCCCTTGGGCGAGCTGGCGGAGGAAGCCTCCCGCATCTTGGAGGGTGAGTTGGGGCCTAGAGCCGGATCCGTTGGCGGCATTCAGGTTTCAGACACAGTTTGGTCCGCCGATGGACCGGGCCAGGGTTCAGTCATCATAGAGGGGGTCGAGTGGAGGTCCTGGGACTACAAGGAGGATATCCACGTGTCTGAAGAGCTGGCGGGCATGCTGCAGGTTTCGGATGAGGGGAGGAAAGAAGGCAGTGCGTCACCAAAGCAGTCGCCACGGGGATCTTGGGCCGCACAGTGAGGAGGCAGCCCGCCATGGAGGAGGTCAACGCCAAGGGTTTGGAGCTGCGCATGGAGATGACACGGCAGGCTCTGGAAGCTCAGGCGGTCATGGGTGAACCAGCACTACGTGTGGCCCCCATTCAAAAAGTGAGATCAGAATCTACACCCACGACATCGTTAAAGCCAACCACGACAAGGACTTCCGCTCCCTGGCAGTCTTCCCTTTGTCGGAGCTCGAAGACTGCAAGCTTGTGGTGGTTCGGGCAGACTACAAAGGCGATGTGGTGGTGGAGACGGTGACGGGGACCATGTGGCAGCCGGGGGGGGTGGATTGTATGGACACTGATCTGGCGAGGCCACATGTTGCTCCTACAACCCCCGGAGAGCTTGGATGCCGAAGTCTTCTTGGACCGTTGGCAGCCGCATGACACTCCAGCACTTGGTTTCCTCTTCTTTTGGCATTCTCGTCACGATCAGGAACGCACCGCCCCAGGCCCAGTTGCATGTCGTCTGTGGAAAGCTGGCGAGGCCGAGTTCACCCTGCGTCGAAGGAACAGCAACCTGGCCGCAGCAGCCATAGTGGGATGTATCCGGGCGGGCGCGGAGCCAAGCGGCCCATCCTTCAAAGTTCGCGGCCGCGTCTTGTGTTTCCAGGAGCTCTTTGCAGGATCTGCAGTGCTGTCAAAAGCCTTCGAGGCGGCGGGTGTCAAGGTTATGGAGCCCATCGAGGTGTTCGAAGATCCCCATCGCCGGCAAGGCTATCGAGAAGCTTTCGACTTGACCCTCCCCCAGGCGCAGAAGGACTTGATCTGTGCCGCAGGGCGAGGCCCCGCAAACATCTGGTGGATTGCGAGTCCGTGTACAAGCTTCTGCGATTGGGGCAGAACGGGGGGACGAGGACTTTCGAGTGCCCTGCCGGGGGCGCGGGTGGCGCGGATCTCAAACCAACGGAGCTGGAGGGTAACCTGCTCAGCAAAATCGGGGCGGAGGTCTTTCTCAGGGCGTTGGAGTCAGGTGCCTTCCCCATCGCTGAGTCCACGGCAAGCTCAGGACGCTACCCCAAAATGTGGGATACGCCGTGGTGGAAGGAGATTCTGGCCAGGCTGGATGTCGCCTTTGTGGAGTTCCCTATGTGCGCCTTTGGTCTGGGCCCGATGGATGAGGACGGCTTCTATCATCACCGCACCAGACTGGTCTTCCCGAGGAATGAGGCTGTGGTGGCTGCGTTCTCCAGACGATGTCCCGGTGTTGGCGCGGCTCACCGGCATGTTCCCTTGAAAGGAGCCCGACCCGGCCAGAAGGTCACTCGTTGTACTGAGGCCGGGGTCTATGCCAAGGACTTCGTGCGCACCGTGGTGGAAGTTCTGCAACGAGTTGTTCAGGTTGGGGGCGAGGGCGATGAAGCCAACCCGCCACAGAGACACAGATGGGGTGCCGAGGACGCCCGAGCAGGTGGAGTGGACCTTCGGCGAGGCCAGTCAGTTGAGTCGGATGGGGGAGGTCGTGACGACCAGGCAGGCGATCAACGTGGCGGACTTGACGCAAAGCACGCTGGGTGGCTCCATGGGTTGGACGAGGGCGACGGTGACACTCACGCAGAAGGTCGACGAAGTGGACTTCACGCAAAACAGGCCGGGTGGCTCCATGAGTTGGACGAGGGCCACAGTGACACTCATGCAGGAGGTCGACGAGGTGGACTTCGCGCAAAGCAGGCCGGGTGGCTTGATGAACTCGACGATGAGGAGGGCGATTTTCTTGCCAACACACCGGTGCAGGGCGTGGTGTATGGCCATTTCGAAGACACGAGGGCGGGCAGCGTGATCGACATAGCACACAGGGCGCCATCTGAAGAGGCCAAAGGCGCGGCGCAGGACTACATTCGGGAGGCGGGAGCGGGAAAGACCGGCTCCCCCGCGGCTTGGAAGTCAATGTGTGAATGCGGAGGGCGTCTGGTGGAGGTTGCGGGTTCGGTCACAAAGGCAGCGGAGAGCTTGTGGCGGGTTAGAGAGGAAGAGGGGCTGAACAACTTGAAGAAGGTTGACGACGAGTCCCTCGACACGGTCCTGCACCCAGACTTGCTTGCATACCTTCGCGATGTGAGACGCCATGGCTTGGCAGCAAGAAGCACTGGTGAGCGCAAACGTTGCCGCGCAAAGGTCCACCCGAATGGCAGACGCAACCTGAACCAGGTCTACAAGCAGATTTGGAAGGACGTCAGCAAGCTTCGTGTGCTCGTGGTCCCGGCCAACCTGGGAAATCTGGGTGATGTTGTCTCCAGCCCCTTCGACGCCGTGGATAAGATGCTTCTCGACAGGTCCGTGGCGCCAGACAAACGGATTGCGCACGACCAGAGGGCCATCAACAGCGGCACTGACAAGGAGTGGCACCCGCCAGCGGTCCAGCCCAAGCACGAGCAGATCGCACGTCTGGTCAGAGCCAAGAGCCAGCTTCCTGGCGTGGAGGTGCTCCTCAGCAAAAAGGACATTGCAGGTCCCTTTCGTCTACTTTGGTTGGATCCGAGGGATGCTGAGTTGTTTGCTGGAGACATGCCATGGACGCCGGAGGAGATGGAGGAGGGCGATGCCGTCGACGGGACCGAGATGACGGTAGACAATGTCTTGGTCGAGCCTTGGGTCGGGTTGAGACCGTGGGTGGCGTCTGAGGTGTGCGAGGCTGGCGTCCAGCAGTTGTTGGGGGAGGCTGCCGTCAACCGTGAAAAAGACCTGATGGAGGGTCCGTTCAGGACCTTCCAGACTGTGTGGGGTCTTGATGTCGAGACGGAGACTGAAGAAGTTCACTTGCCAGAGAGGCGGGTGCTCAAAGGGGCGCTGCTGCTTGCCGAGCCGTGCTTCGAATATGGGTGCAAGGACCTTACGC